GTGTTAGTGATTCCAAGATTTCCTTCCATTCGTTTGATCCTGCTCGGAGTCCCAACTCCTTAGGCTTAACGAACCCGACTATCTCTAAAAATTAACGTTGTAGCCCATCCGGGGTGCAACATTGCTTTTCGGATAAATGACCATTGTCTTTAAATGGTATCATCACATGTTTTGTGAGATAATATGTCGCATTACTTAGTATGTGACTATCATGTGGAAAATTTTGATTTGTGCATAAACTTTCAACATTTGACAATCTGAAAACACGGATATCACGAATAGAATCAACCTGTCCTGCGTAACAATGAATAAAATGTAATTATGCATCACAAATGACCTAAAAAAAATTGGAAAGGTTCCCTTAGCGCATAGTGCGATAGCACACATCCACTCACAACAATCGATACTTAGGAATTTTCCAATGGATCACCAATCAAAAAAATTTTATATTTAATTAGCCAATTAGCGTTGTGTGTTATCGGATCCTCTAAAAAAAAATTATATATAATATAAACAATAAAAATAATAATTTTATTATTAAAACTAAATATTTATATACTACTAAATATTTATATTATAACAATGCTAAAAATTTATAGCAATGCACTAAACCTAAATCTTAAAGGTTAATGAATGTTTATTAACTATTTACTTGTAACTGAATGGAATGGAATCCTTTCCTATTTATATATGATTCATTATTATCTTTTGGTGCACTAATTTTTATATGAGTTCCGTCTACTGTACCAATAACACCTGGAAAATCATATAGCTGTTCTATTTTTTTAATATTTTGTTCTGCTTCTTGTCTTGTTGACCAGCGAATAAACATTCCTACTTTTGTAGGAATATATAAAGCATTAACAACTTTCTGCATTTCGCAGTAGCTTTACTGACGTTAAATCTGTCTAAAACACATCTGAATAATTTATTGAATAGTTAAAATATCATTAATAACAACGTATATAAACGTATATTATAAATGTTATAAATGTTATATTATAAACATATATTATAACAACGTATATTATTTTTAATTGCGCACTGAATATACGTACATTCGATCTTCAAACACAATTATAAAAAAGTATAAAAAAAAGTATATAAAAAAAGTAAAAATAAAAGTAAAATAAAAGTAAAAGTATATAAAATCACACAATATCAGTACGAAGATCCAGCTTTGATCAAATAAGGCTTGTCTTCAATTATTTATAATAATAATTTTATACTTTATATGCTGTTTACCTATAGGAATTTGGTGTAGCCATTATCCAAATAGCATTCAATAATTGTTTTTCAGGTGTTATCGGTTGCCTGCCAAATCTGTTACTTTGTTTAGATAGTTGTGGTGTTAATCAAGAGATCAAGAGATACGGGTGATGTCTCGACGCCAAGTTCACGCGCAGTGAAGTTCGCGTAGAACAGCGGCGAGATGCT